TGTAAGGGAAGTAACATTTGTGTTTTCCTACTTGTATCAGTCAGGGTTCCATGAGAGCAAACATAACCAATATAGATAAAGAGAGGGAGAGAGACTCAGGGTAGAAACTCTCAGGCAGAAGCTAACACTGCAGTCTACAGGCAGAATTTCTCCTTCCAAAATCTTTCAACTGATTAGGTCACGCCCACCCAGCTTATGAATGATGATCTGATTTACTTAAAGTGAACTAATTATAGATGCTAATCATGTCTATGAAATACCCTCACATCAACACCTAAGTTAGTATTGGATTGAATTGCTGAGTACAAGAACCTAGCCAAATTGATGTAAAACTGACCATCCTGCTACACTGGGTCAGACACGTGCTTTTGTATCTCCTCCTCATAGAAATCCCACAGGGTGGAGATGATTCCCATTTCACAAGTGAGAAAAACATGGTTCTGTGCTCTGAGATATTGGGTAACTACACTAAATGGTAGGAACCAGGATTTGAACCTTTGCCTACTTGGCTCTAAAATCTGTTTTATATACATTTTCTGTAGGAAGTTTATCTTTTCCTTCCACATTGTTAGTCTCCTGGCTGGGACCTTAGTGTCTTTTAGCAGGCATGATGTATGTGTCTGATTCATCTCTCTCCCAGAACATCCCAAAGCCACACATCAATTATTTTGGACTTTTCCATTGTTTTGTGTTATCCATTTCTCTTTTTAAATACATCAGTATGGAGTAATCCATGCGAACAAAGCCCGTTCATTTGAACTTTAATCTGTCTGTGTATCTGGTTGGTATATTACTGTAGGACAGGTGGTTAATTCAGAATATTTTACTATGCGGGTGAATTTACACATGGAGATGTCACCACATCAAGGCCAGATTACGAACACCTGAGACTTGCCTGCACACTACAGTTGTGGTAATGAATCAGTTACCCAGCAAAGTCTACTTAATTTTGAGGGATTTTCCCCCTCGAAAAGGATCCTAACACCTCTCTGTGGTTCATCTAGATTTTGAAAAGTCCACATCCAGGTGGGTTCTGCTCAATGTACATCAATCTACGAATCTTTGCACAAGTGCACAGATTCTCCGCCTATCCAGTCACACATGCCATCACCCCTTCTAGGGTACATAGAATTTTCCCCCCAGCTCTTCATGCCATTCACCAAAAAATTCCATATACCTGTACGTGAAATCAAAGATTCTCTCTTATTTAGTAAAGCAAAGCTATTTTTAAAGGTACTTGTTTAAAAACCAGTCTGCCAACGTATGTTTTGAGGCTCTAGAACAGAGTGAGTGATTTGTTTTCTATTTTTTATTCTCACTTCTCTTTCTTGCCCTGAAGCTATTTGGTAAAATACTCAGTAGCTTCCCATGGACGATTTTGTGATGACTGACAGTAATCAGAAGCCCGTCTATAACAGAGGCCTTCACTAAGCTGGCCCACTGTCTGTGGAGTGTCCAACGTTGATTCCAGCGTAGGCTGCATGTTATGAGCACACTGTTCGCTTCTAAGCCATTTCAGTGCACGGAGAGTTAAGATGTTTTCTTGATAGGAAGCTGAGCAAGTCAAGTATATAATTGATTTTCTTAGGAGGGGAAAAAAATCTTCGCGTTAATTATCTCTTACCTATTGTGTAATGCGGATGAAGGATTTATTAGTTTGTTTTAATCAATGTTTATTTTATCATCAATAGAGAAAAGTGTATCCATTTCTTACATTGCCCTAGACTATTTATATTGTGAAATTGTTATTAGCTCATGCATTGAGCCAATATTCTTTCCACCAAGAATGGATGAAAGAAGACAGCTTACAAATTCATAAAACACACACACATACTCACACTCACACACCCACACACACAGACATGGTAACCAGAGAAAGAGCTCTTGCCTCCGGCATGTTATCCTCTAACAAGAACATAGCATGTTGTGCACATTATTTTTCAAATTCTGCAAATAGGAACTAGAGCAGCCTGTTGTATCAAATCTGAACGTCTCAGGCCATCCTATGCAGAGTCCTCCACTCTCAGCTCCTCCAATTTAAGTAACCCCCTTTCCTGGTCCTCCTCAGCAACAGATGCATTAAGCACACCCACTTTTTCTTTGAATTTCCTTTGTAAAATATTTTTAAGCCCTCCCTTTTTTTTTTCTCTGTGTATTCGATCTCCTCCTAAAGATGGTAAGCTTCTCAAAGATAAGGAACAGGCTTTTTTTTTCTTTGAATTTTCACACATCCTTCATGCTTATGATATATAGCCGAAGAGTAAGTACAATTTCTTGACTATCCACCTCAACAAAACAAAGTTCTTTGTTCTTATAAAGAGTTAAGTTAGACAAAAATGACTAAATGGGAAAAGCTAATAGAAAGGATATGATTGCAAAGTCAAGTGTTCAGACGTATGCTAATGAAAGGAAAGTAACCGCCCACTGTAGTGCCGACCTCATCTCGTGGAAGTCACCAGATCACTATTTACTCAAAAATTAAAAATCCAAGGAGATCAAAAGGATAATAAAACAAATGTCCCTACAAGAAAAGTTCTACTACAATGAAGTTATCCAATTTATTAGGGAAGAACTCAGCATTTCTGGGCCAGGATCCTTGTTAATTGAAATCCAATTGTGACATGAGAGCATGAGAAGAAAAGTTAAAAAATTCTTTCTGAAAATAAAGCCAAAAAAGGAGTTTTAAAAAGCCATGAGAATCAGTATTTGGATAGAAGGAAATAGCATACTGATAGACCTTAATCTGGGTTGGGGCAAATGAGGGCCACATCACAAGATGCTGTGATTGACAAAAATCGGCATCTTCTTGAACTCTGAAGAGACCTCGGAGACATGGATTTCTCAGAAGAGCCCTGGCTGTAGTGGCTATTATCTCTTGCCAGTACTATAAAGACTTACTGTTTCAATTCAAATTTTCCGTAACTGAGACAACATATGCCAGCCATATTTGGAAGCAAATAAAATGGTGGTGTCCACTGCCAAGTGCGCAAGTGCTCATTAACTTTGTGAATGTGTTACCGACAGGTAGAGCAGGCAGCTGGCTTCTTTAGTGAAAGCGCCCCTCCCACAGGTGGAATTGGAGTGGGAAGTAACTGGGACAATCATAAGGCAAATGCTTATTAAAAGGTCACTAAATAAACTGGTCAGATTGTGTGCAATCTATGCAAAAATCAGGATACACCACTACCCACCAGGTTACATGCAAAGACTTCTCCAGTTCGTAGGGAAAAACCTCCTGTACAAAAAAGATTCACAGGATATGTAGGCTGAGGCATTAGCAGAGCTGGGAGGAATAAAGAACGGCTTCTGGAGCACACAGTTGAAAGTTCTTGGGGGGCCCAGGACCATCACTAAGAAATGGCTATATAATAAAATATGCTTACACCTTATTCCAGTCAACAGAGATGAAGTCATGATAAACCTTTAGTCTCAAGGGCAAGCTTGAAGGGGAGAGATGGCACCAAGAGGCAACTTGAAGGAGGTGATCTGGAAGATAGGTCCAGTTACACCATCCTGGTTCTGATTACTGGACAAGAGGAGGTCGTATAAGTAGTGGTGATGTGTAAAAAGCTGAGGTTAGGGTGGGGTGATGGGAGGAAGTGTTCTTGCTAAATGACCTTATTTGAAATCTGTGTCACTTACAAAGTTTCCTTTTCCTTCTGAAAATCTATAAGAGAGCCTGCCTCTCCAACAGTCTCCAATTTTTGCTTCTGTCATTCTACCCTCTCCCTGCTCTCTCGCTACTGACTCTGCTCAGAAAAACAGGGAGACTTTGGACCATATTGCCTAAGGTCCTATGTTTAGAAGATAATTTGCCTCAGCAAGCCATAGCTCAGGGCGAGCTTGATGGCACATTTTCTGTATACGCCCCTTCTTGGTCCCCAAATGTCAGTATGTTTCTGAGTCTCAAGTCTTCAAAATTCCAGTTAAAATAGCTACTCTCTTCATCCCCACCAGATGCTTCCTGTGGTCACTGTTGACACAGAGCCCTGGTCCAGGGTGATGTTTCTACTCTGTGGTTGGCTTGCCTTTCCTTTAGAGTTCATCAAAGGTTGGAGTTTGTCAATGCAAAGTGAACGCATATTAACAAAAGAAATAAAGAAGAAAGAAAGAAAGAGGGAAGGAGGGGAAAAAGGGGGAAAGAAAGGAGGGAAGGAAGGGAGGGAGGGAGAGAGGAAACGAACCCAAAAAATACTCTGGGTGACTAGTTTATACATTATACTAAGAATGGTCATATATATTTTAATTGCACCAGAAAGACCATATCTTCTCCCCCAATCAATTCTTCTACCCTAGTTTATACATTATACTAAGAATGGTCATATATATTTTAATTGCACCAGAAAGACCATATCTTCTCCCCCAATTAATTCTTCTACCCTGATTCTTCATTGTATATGAAACATCATCATTAAAAAATAATTTGGGGGGCCGGTCCCTGGCATAGTGGTTAAGTTTGGCATGCTCTGCTTTGGCAGCCCAGGTTTCTGGGTTCGGATCCCAAGCACGGACATACACCACTTGTCAGCCATGCTGTGGCAGCAACCACATACAAAATAGAGGAAGATTGGTGCAGATATTAGCTCAGGGACAGTCTTTCTCAAGTAAAAAAAGAGGAGGATTGGCAACAGATGTTAGCTCAGGGCGAATCTCCTCAGTAAAAAAAATAATAATAATTTGGTAGCTCTTATCACTACAACCACTTTTACTAATACTCCTCTACTCTACTACTACTAAAATTCACGAAATATGTAAATAAATAGTAAACATAATAAAGACATCACAATTTAGATTATGCCCTTTATAGAGTAAATAGAAATTTACACTTTTTATGAACACTTCACCTTTTTAACTTTATTGCCAAACTTAGAGACTAAGTTTTATTACATATAAGGATTTGAGACTCAGAGAAGTTAAATAATTTAATAAAATTCACACAAATAATAAATTACACAGATGAAATACATAAACAATTTTTCTGACTTTAAAATATTCTTCCCTCCCCACATTTATACAGGTTTCATTTTTTCTTCTTTTTCCTTTTTTTGCTTGCTGACTTTTTAAAGATACAAATTTTTCTTGGTCAGGTGCTGCATACTAATTCATTTTAAGATGTCTGTACTTCTCCTGCTGACAGAGACACCAAACCTGGCAGAAAGGGCACAGAAAGAGGAGGAAAGAAAACCAAGTAGAAAGCTCAGGACTTGGCGGTCTTGCCAAGGGTCAGCCATGGCTATAAATGAGGGTATGTGGAATCAAACAAATAGGAGCCTCTTTGATGAGGACGCCCCAAAGGAGTCACAGAGAGCACTGAGCTCCAGCTCCTCACCCCATTTTATAGGTGGGGATACTGAGGCCAAGGCTATTAGACATGTCCACTAGGCTACATTGAATTGATGACAAAGCTGAGTCTCCCGACTTCCAGTTTATTGAACCTCCCATCACTGAGTGCTATCTGGCTCTATGTGATCAACTGCACAAATTTTGAGTAGAATAACTACACATATTCAATATCAATCATGACATGCAACTTACTAATCGGAGAGTTAAGGCTAACTTTTTTCCCGGGTGTACAACAAGAAGGGCAGAAACAAGTCATTTTTCATAATGATGAAGTTCTCTAAGAAGCACCACTCACCTTAAAAATATGCTTAGGAATTATTGATACACTCTCAGCACTCTGATTTTCCTGCCTTTCTGAAGCTAAGACGTTGCAGAAGTGCCTTCATGGCTTTGATCACAGGCAATCAAAGGGGACTTTGTGTAGTTTCTAGGGAGATGCTGTTGCCAGAAAAGTCGGAGCTCTCTGCCATGCAGAGGAAACTGTTATAGAACTTCCCTGCCTTCCTAACTCCAGATGAAATTAGGATCAGAAGGCTGTCACTGGCCCCCAGGCGCCTGTGGTTTTAATTTTCTTATCTGCATTTCTCTTCCCCACCCATTCCGGGTAGCTGTCGCAAGAAATATGAAAAGGATGTTCATTTGTTTATTGTTCTTTGCTGCTTCCCACTTTCATGTTCACAGCAAGGAAAAGAGCAATTGTCTCTACTGGCCGCTTTAGTGTTTTGCATTCTTATGTCTGCAAGTATCTTAGGAGGCCCAGAACATGCAATCTTACTCAATTTTTGAAATTTGCATTTTATACCAGGTGCATTCTTTTGGTATTGATTACAAATGATTATATTACTCTGCCTAGCAGAGTTTGGGTCATAAAAATCACTAAATGTAAAACAGTGCATAGAGTTGCCCAAGTTGTCATGTTTGTGGCTACATTTATGAAAATAAAGGGAATCATCTATTTGGGTTATTTTTGACATTTTGAGAACTTTGGATCTTATGTTTTCTTAAGCTGCTCAAGAAGGTTTCAGACTTTAAAATCTAAGAGGAATGGTGCAGACTGACAAAGGTGGCCAAGAAAGGAGACTTTCCTGATGACTAGGGTGGCAGGATCCTCTGGTGCCGATCCTATGCTGTGATACTCCCTTCTCTGAGGTGTCACTCATGACACTGGCCCCCTCCTTGATGAGCTCTTTGGGATTGGTTCTCTTTAAACTGACCTGGACAAGCTTGAACAAACAACCCTTTCCTTGAATCTGAATAGCATAACTAAAATGGCACTGGGAAATTCAAATATGAATAGAGTTAGTAAACATACAGCTTGCTTTCACAGTACTATCTGGGATGCAGGCAGGGGTGGGGGTGTTGTAAAAATGGTAGTTGTATGTTTATTTCACTTTGTTGTTCAAGATGAGAGAGGATTAAGTGTGCTTAAATTTTATGGTGAAAAGAGTAAGTTGAAAGTGTAGAGTTAAAAAGAGCAGCAATAAGTCAAAGAATATTTCCTCTGAGAACTAGTGAAATTGTTGTCTACATTTACTGTTCATACTTGCCACTCTTTTCCCAGTGAACTGATGGTGCATTTCTTTCTTCCCCTCTTCTCGGGATCCACTTCACTAACCTTGACGCATACAGGAAGTCAGATAGCAATCAGAAATTTCCTTACTGAACATGAAAAGAGAACACAACAAGAATTTGGGTGATTAATCCAATGTATATGAGCTGGAAACATCTAACTCAAAAAGACAGTCTTGCTCACTGGCTAGGACAATTCCTAAACAGCATAGCCCACGTTGCTTCTGGGACTCTCTGTTCCTTTATCCTCCTGTGGCTGTACAGCAACCTGTTGAGAATATATTCTTCCTTAGTGCACAAACACATTCAAGCAGGTTACAATCCAATCTTACAACACTGGGAATGCTTTTGTCTATTTAAGGTAACTGTGATTCTCTACTTTTGTTTATTATTTGGTTCATAGTTTAACTCTCAGAGGGCAATTTTATTTTCATTACTTCTAAATTCTTGGGAGATGCCTTAGGGTATCCCAGCTAGGATGACAAGAAGTACCATTATAAAATAGTTGATTGAGATGCAGCAACTCAAATTCACTATAAGTAAACCTATAAAAAATTGATTTTTGACCTGAATGGTGTATAGAAAACGGCTAACCGCAAATGGTAATTTTTCTTTCTGAATGTTTCATGTAGCAGTATCTTGATGTAGAAAAAAGAAGATTTCTGTGTGTGTAAAAACCACGAGAAGTTGCTTTGAACATCAAAAGAACAACACTTTAAGTTGCTTCTCCAGCAATTGTTCACCTTCAGTTGGCAATTCTCTGGTTTTTTATTTGTGCGTCACTCCTCCAAAGTCAAGTCTCTAACATGTCGCTTAATGACTCACTAAGATCAATAATGCCCTGCTTCAGATCAGCCAAGTAGTTTCTCTTGAACTTTTTCTCATAATTACTTTATAATTAAAATCATTGAGTAAAATCCTAATTCCCTGAATGAACATTTATGATTTGCTGGATTAGCAAAAACTCTATCTATAAATATGCATGTCTCTGTATGTCTGTAGACAGAGAGAGTGAGAGTAAAAGAGAGAGAGAGAGAAAGAGAGAAGAGAGACCACCAGTGGAGAGTTACTCTTCTTGACTGGTTTACCCTCTATTCCCACAGTCCTTTGTTCAAACCTCAATCAAATCAGTTATCAGGTCACACAATAACGTCACTATTTGCATTTGGTCTTGCCTCCTACACTGTTTTATCCAACTTTGTATTCCAAGGGCTTGGCTCCTAGGCAGAAATTCAGAAGGTGTTTAACAAATGTTTGATAAAGGAATTAACTTCTACTTAGGGCCCATGTGTGCTCCCTGATGCACATTTTAGGGTAGGAAGATGTTATAATTGACTATGTTGATGTTACAGTGAACATGCCGAAGCTCATATGAGTTCCAAAGCAGTATGTTACATGTATATCTTCTCTTTATCCAATTTTAAGAAACACGAAGTGGAAAAAACTTTGCTTTGACTGCCTAATTCACCATACAAGATTTTGTTTTTCATGTACCCACTTCTTATTCCATAATTATTAAGGACACGCAAAATACCAGACTCAGGGCTAAATGCTAGAAATAAAAGTGAGAATATATTTAAACGAAGAAGAAACAGTTGTTAAGTAACCAGGCAGCATGACATAAGGATTCACTAGAGAGAGTTGGAACCTCCATAACTTAACCCTGTACTCCCTATTTCTACCTGTGGGGCTTAAGTCAAGTGTATTAGTTGTCTATTGATAACTATCTGTTGCTAAGTTATCTACTAGTTAACTATCTATTGTTATACTCCAAAGCTTAGTAGCTTAGTGCAATACAAATTTATTGCCTCAGTTTCTGTGAGTCAGGAACCTGGGCACAGCTTTGGCAGGCCCTCTGTGTCAGGGTCTGTCACAAGGTTGCAGTCACACCCATGACTGTGGCGTCAACTGCAGTTTCAACTATGAAGAGATCTGCTCCCAAGTTTCCTCATGCAGTTGTTGACAGGATTCAATTCCTTGAGAGTTGTCAGACTAAGGACCTCAGGTGCAGTTAACTGGAAGCCACCTCCAGTTCCAACAGATGGGCCTCTCCAACACACTATCTTGCTGTAACAAAGGGTACAGTCCAAGAAGGTGATAAAAAGAATCTACGAGCAAGGTAAACATCACAGTCTTTTATAACCAAATCACAGAAGTGACATCTCATCCCTTTTTCTGTGTTCTGTTTTTCCTAAGCAACTTACTATGTCCAACCCATATGCAAGGGGAGGGGATTATACAAGACTGTGGGTACCAGGAGGTGGGGATCACTGGGGGCCATCTTAATGTCTTCTTATTACAGCAAATAACTAAATTTCTCTAAGCCTAGTTCCCTCTGCTCTAAAATAGAGGTCAGAATGCCTGCTATTCATGAGATTGATGTGAAAATCAAATAATACATTTAATCCCTGAGCATTTAGTGAGTAATCAGTTTTCTTAGTTAATTACAGCACACCATGAAATGTCCTATGTTCGGGTTATTCAAAGGACTATGGGAGCACACAAGAGGAACACCTAACACCATCTTGTAAAATATAGACAAACTTTTGAGAACAAGTGAAATCTGTACTGAGGCTTGGATTAAGGCCAATAGCAGCCAGATGAAGGATAAAAAGAGAATGATATTCCAGGGAGAAAGAAAACTCTAGAGGCTCTTGAGGGCAGCGGTCCCAGCTAAACTTTGAGCTGCGCAGGGTTCATTGCCCCCTCTCCTCTTTGGCATTCCTGCTTGAAAGGTGGGACACAGAAAGAAGGAAAAACTGATGTCAGAAGTCTGCAGACATGTGTGCACAGGAACCATCAAGGGCCAACATAGTAACACTCCTTGCACATGACCTTTAATAAATACAGAAATGTCCAGAAAGAGTGAAAGAGGAGAGTAGGAAGAGAAGTTAGAATTGCGATGTGTAGGTCAAAAGGGCTGAGTTTCTGAGAATGCCTCCTCTGGAAGTGAGATGCCATCCTGCCCCTGGTCCCTCTGAAGTGGTGGTCTCGTGTACCAGGCTGAGCCAGACCACCACCAGGAGCTTCCTTGGCTGGTTCATTCTTGAGAATTTTATGATACTATTTAATCTTCCAATGCTAAACACTCACGGAGTTTGAAATCCATTTCACAGCTCCCATAATTAGAGGGAATTGTTTTAATCGAGATTTTTATTTACGTTTTGTTTTGGACCACTAATATATTTAGATTGTTCAAAATAAAACAAAATATTATTTCTAAGTACACACTGAGGAGCCTCACTCCCACCCCCATGACTGTCCACCTTTCCCTAGAGGTTAATGAGAAATCACTCGATTTACCCCAACTTGTTTCTTTGATTTTCTCTCAATATTTTATTTTGAAAGTTTTCAGACCACAAGAAAATTTGCAATAATCCTATAATGGACACCTATACACCCTTCACCAAGATTCACCACTTGATAACTTTTTGTCGCATTTGCTTCATCTCTCTCCCCCTGTTTGTGTACATATGTATGTGTTCATTGGAGAATTTGTTATAGAAATTCTGACACTTAACCTTTAAGTCCTCCTAAAGAACACGCAAAAGTAGCGAGGAACATCTTGACAAAGAGGGGCAGTGAGGAGGGTGGGCAGGATCAGCCATGTCTAGTGTGAAACCATGCAGTAAAGCCTCTATAATTAAACCAGTGTGGTACCAGAACATGACCAGACAGACACACCAGTGACACAGAGTAGAGGACCTGGAAACATACCCAAGTACATATGGAAATTTAGAAGCAAGAAAGGTGATATCTCAAAGCAACGAGGAAAAGATATACTTTTTCATAAATGGTGTGGGGAAAACTGGATAGCTGTTTGGAAAAATGTAAGCTTAGATTCATTTCATATATAAAAATAAGCTCAAAATGATTCAATATCTATATGCAAAAAATGAAACCATAAAAGTACTGATAGAAAACATGAGTGAATTTCTTTATAAACTAAGTATAAAAAAGTCCAGGTACAATTTCAAAAGCTGATAAATTTTCCTGTATCAAAAATTTTAAAACATCACATGGCAAAAAGTGAAATTTTGTTTCAGTAATTCACCCACACACCCACGTGTGTTCCATATGTTTACTGAATCAGGCAGTAGGGTTTATTAGTGGAGAATAAAGTTCCATGTGTTCAGGCAGAGCTAGGCTCTTTTCTCTGAGATTGTCATTAAACATGTGTTGAGTGACTTACTGATATGTAACATTGTCCTGGTCTCAGGGAACCGTTGTCATATTTGGAGAATCTGCTCACTGTGTCTCCAATCCAAGTATTTAACATCCTTCTAAGTATGTCTGTCAAGTTCTCACTCTTCCTCTCTCTTCATATTTAATTTTGCGTTTAATGCTTTTCTAAGAAAAACATGAGACTCTGTACTAAAGATATTCAGTGTGAATTTGGAGGCATAAGAAGACGGAAGTCCTTTTTTTAAACTCCTTTTTAACAACAGAAATAAATTAAACTCAATCATGTTTGCATGAATGATTCTATTTTCATTTAAGGGAATCTTGCATCCAAAGATTTTGCAGAATTAGGTAAACTCCTTGTCAGAGTTTTCCTAACATTTATTTTTATTTGAGGGCATATGGTAAGATTCCTTCCTTGACAGAATACCATGAAATTAATTTTGACATATTGCTGTAGATGAGGCCATGGTACCACCTCCATGATTAAATATTCACAAACAGCACCCAGAGCTTTCAAAAGGACTGTTTCCTTCCTACAACAAAGGCCTGGCAAGTGATAATCAATCCATTTCCTGGTTATGGGCAAAAGCAAGAAAATATATGAGGATCCAAGAATTTGTCAAATGAAACAACAGCTATCAATTTTCCATCACTCTACCTGTGGAAACATGTAAAATCCATAATGAGATTTTGCACAAAAAAAAAAAAATAACTGTTGGATAAGTTAAAATACGACAGTTTAATAAAATGGTCATGTTCCAACAGATCATTCAACCAGCAAGCTCTGAAAACTTCTGGTATAAAATTAATATATCAAAGTGGCTTCTGTATCCTTCAAGAAATATCTTTTAGGCGGACTGTAGCTTGTTTAAATTTAAGTAACATTTTTTTTCATCAATATAACTTTAAAATGGTTCTAGAATTCCAAGGATAGAAATAGGAAAGAGTTTTTTCCTTATAGCAATTTTTTGAAAATATATTTCATGGGTGAAATGATACTTAGCAGCAGCTGCATCCACTGTCATCCAGTACTGCCCCTCCCCGTCACCCACTTTTACTCACAATCTGCATCATTTGAAAATGGTACTTTGCTGTTCGATGGGAACAAAAAAATGGATCAATAATCCAATAAAACATATATTAACCTGTCAAGCACCGAACATTGTAAAGAGAGCTGATCAACATAATAAAAATCTGGTCTCTAGTTTCAAACCATGGCCAGAGAGCCATTTAATATCTTGGGCAACTTTTGAAAAGGATAAGAAGTTTTTTAAGGACAAGAAAAGCAACAAAAAGAATAGTTTAGAGGAACTTTGAGCGTGCCCTCCAAGAGGGCCGTGTCAGGGTGGCTTTGGGGGGATCAGAATTGACCAGCGATCCGAGGACTGGGGTATACGTGGCCCTGATGGAGCAGAAGGCTTTCAAGCGAAGCAAGGATAGTGGGATTTTTAAGGGGTTGGTTTCTAGATCTTCAGCTTCCATAGTTATCTTTCCAAAACCAATCTTCTGAGAATGTAGCACAGTCAAGGTGTCTCCTGGGTGAATTGACCTTCACTGTCTTAACAAAAGAAAGGGCAACCTCTCTCGCACATCCACTGGCTCCTCTCTCTGCAGTGCCATATGGGTGTAAAGACTCTCCATCACTGGTAACTGTGGCCCTGAGACGAGCTAACAAATTCCTTCCCAGGTTGAGTGCTGTCAAATATTCTGCTATGAGAATATTGAGGAAGAACCTAATTGAATTAGATAATAGATAGCATCCTTTGATGATAGCTCACTATTTGATTTGGGCACATAACTCCGAAGGCATTCAAAGGATTATATGATGTTGCTGTAATGAAAGTCTCTCTGTTCCCACCCCTTGTTTATCTGAACAGATTTCTGAGTTACCTCTTAGGGTAGTTGTGAAGATTAAATTAATTAAGGTAAAATGTGAAGAGCATCAGGAACAGGGACTGGTACATAGTCAGTACTATATGAAGGATTGCTGCTATTATTACTGTTATATTAACTAAATATATTTGTTATGTATAATTATAAGTATTGTAATTATAAATAAATGATGAATATATTAGTTACTATGATTAGTTTCATTAACTAAAATTAATACATTATAAATATGTAATATATGTGTGCATGTGCTTTTGTCGCAGAAAATATCAAAAATTATTCAAAAAACATTTAAAAATCATAAAAACATTATTTTAGAGTAAATTCTGTAGAGGAAGTTGAAGGAGAAAAGGCGCTAATGTAAAACTGTTAAAAGCAACTAATTGTGGTTTTACGTGGATGGTGGTGGGAAACAAATCACCTTGGTGTTTATATTCTATTGAATACTTTAAATAGAGTGAAATAGTTATTTTTAAACGCCAATATTTTGAGTAAGCTGGAAATTATATTTTTGCAAGTATTTAAAATATACATTATGAACATTTTAAGTATTTTTCAAAATTACTTTTTTGGGGGAAAGAAGGTTGTATTAGTCAGGGTTCTACAGAGAAACAGAACCAATAGGATACATATATATAGGAAAATATTTATTATAAGGAATTGTCTCACATAACTGAAGATTGAGAAGTACCAACATCTAATCTGCAAGCTGGAGACCCCGGGATGCGTGTGGTGTAATTCAGTCCAAGTCTGAAGGCCTGAGAACCACACAAGCCAATGGTGCAGGTTCCAGTTCAGGTCTGAAAGCCTGAGGACCAGGAGCATCAAGGGCAGGAAAAGACCAATGTCCCTGATGAAGCAGTCAGGCAAGAAGAAAAAGGGGGGAATTTCTCCATCGACCCCTTTTGTTCTATTCAGACCTTCAATGGATTGGATGATATCCACCCACTTTGAGGAAGGCAATCTACATTACTGAATCCACAGATTCAAATGCTAATCTCACCTAGAAACATCCTCACAGACACACCCAGAAGTGCTTACTCTGGGCACCCCATGGCCCAGGCAACTTGACACAAAATTAACCATTAAATATATTTGATCAAACATGTATGAACAAATGTAGTTGAAGACCTCTGATTTACACTACATGAAAGGAAAGTATTACCTTCCTCCACCCTTCCTAATCTCCACACCACTCCCAAGTATTGGTGAAAATACAGCTCTGGCTTCTTATCTCTTTTAAAACTCTTTCAATTCCCTACTACCTTAAGAAAATTCAAACTCTTCAGCATAGTTTACAATCCCTTCTAACACTGCCCCCACATCCCTTTCCTGCCTTCTCTTCTGCCATTTCTCCATGCTTCATCCCCCCAGAACCACTGACCATGGGTTCTTCAACATACCTTCTTCTCTCACTATGGTAACATACCCTCAACATGCCCCCTTCTCTTACTATAGTACCCTTAGCATTAGGATCCACCTGCCTAGAATGCCTTCCTTCTTATTCTCATCCCATTCAAGTCCCTGTTTAAAAGTCACCTTGCCAGAAGGGTCTTCCTGGACCATCCTACCTAAAACTGCACTCTTGTCTCTGTCAACCCTTGATCTCTCGTCCGGCTTTATTTTTAATCACAGCACTTTACTCTGCCTGCCATTATGTTAAACATCTTTTTTTAATGTCTTTTTCCTCCTCCAGGCTGAAATTTCCATAAAGGCAGCAACTTGGTCTTACTTTTCCGTCTTGGACACCCATTGCCTCAAAGTGGTCCTGGCACATTGTAGACACTCAATAAATGTTGTAAATGAGTGCATACGTGAACGAGAAAGTGTCATGTTTGATTCCGTATCCCCGGCACAGTTTACATTTGCAATAAGCATGTATTGACTTGACTATATTACAAAGGCTGTGTTGTTGTTTACAAGAACAATATCTAGTCTCCTTATCTTGAGACACTTTAGCAATATCTAAATGGTTTTCTTTCTAAAAATTGAAGTTATAAATAAAAACTTTATAGATGATCAAGGTCCTTTTAAATTCTTTGACATCATGATAATTTAAGACAGACACATGCATTAAAAATAATCACCTTGTACGTGAATTCTTATTCTCTCAAATATAGCTTCTCTGCAGAACCACTTGGAGATGTTAAATACAAAATAAAAAGAAAAAGTCCTTGTAATTTTTTTTTCAAATTCATCATGAATTGTTACCATACAATTTATTTTTAGAAATCTCTTAGGTCAAAGTATCACTCTGCTTTTTACTCACTCCGGTTTGATTTCTGTCATTTCTGTGGGTCATTTGCAGTGCAGGAGATTTTCAAAAGAAGTTAACTGTCTCTAAGCGGTTGTAGGAAGATTTGCCTGCTGTGCTTTCAGATACAATGGAGGTAACACCTAGAAACATGTTTATCTATTCTGAAGGTAAATTTGAAATTTTCTCAAAGGTGGTGCATGCTATAGTTAGTAAAGATGATTTTATAAAAGAAATGCATACACACATACACTCTGTGAGGATTAGAAATACAAGTGAATCATCATTGACAAAATGAGCAATGCAAGAACCTCACTGAAATCAGTCTATCCAGGATTCTATTTCTGCCCAGCACAGTGAACTTCTGCTCAGTTCTTCCTGTTTTCTGTTGTGTCCTTGCAGACTGGCTTCCTGAGCTGTCTCTAGGATTGCCTCAGCCATTTCTAAAGAATCCATTAAGGCAGTTTGGGTGGGATTGGCTTCCCCTGATCAAATAAACTGAGTTTTTCAAGGAGCAGAAGAGTTTACAGTAAAATCAATAGAGTATGAGGCCGGCACGGTGGAATAGTGGTTAAGTTCACACATTCCACTTTGGCACCTGGGGTTCACCAGTTCGGATCCTGAGTGCAGACCTATGCACCACTTGTCAAGCCACACTGTGGCAGGCATCCCACATATAAAGTAGAGGAAGATGGACATGGATGTTAGCTCAGAGCCAGTCTTCCTCAGCAAAAAAAAAAAAAAAAGAGGAAGACTGGTGGCAGCTGTTAGCTCAGGGCCAATCTTCCTCAAAAAAAAAAAAAAAATCAATAGAGTATAAATAAAGCTATCCTACTAGGAGATAAATAAGTATATATGTTTACCCTCAGAGTCATGTTATGGAGCTTAAACTGCTTCCCAGACCTGTGTTTCAAATGGTGATTGCTTCTAATAGAAATACCTGTTCAGAACACCTACCTTGTTCATTACATGGATGCTGAAGTCATTTTATTTCCAGAGTAGAAGTAGAAAACTTTCCTGTGGCCTCCATACTCAGTACCTGCCATTAAATGGTAAATGCCAATTTGTGTTAAAAGATTGAATTGCCCAGAAGGGCTAGTAAAGTCTTCTTTACTGTAAGGGCACAGGATTTTAAGTGAGTGTATGAGAGGAAAAGCTAAAAACTGACTAAAGAATTAGTTATTTCCAAGATTTGGGTATGACTGTGGGACAATGAGATTCTAACTGGTGTGCTAAAAACAGTTTTCTCTTTCAATTCTCCTTCTGGAATATGCCCCTTTTATTTTGTAATTCTTGGCTCAGCTCCTCCAAGCCTCCTCTGTCGTTTCATTCTGCCTGAGTATTTCCTTTCCAATATTTTGGCTGAATGTTCAGCTTTGTTAGCAGAAATGCAGAGTGAGTGCTTTGAAGCATTACCCAATAAAAACCGATTTTAAATAGTTAGAGCTACAACTTCCCCCGTCCTCTGGGAAATGAGCCTTTAGTTTCTTTGTGCTGTAGGCAGAAACGTTGGAGCCAGAATCATCACCCAGGCCAGAGTCTTGCCAAGACTGTCAGATAAGCCACCTGGGCGAGGTCCGCCAGGCCACGTTTAAAAGAGGACCTCTTAGAGAGGTGAACTGCCTTTTGAAATTATTAAGCCTTGGTGACTTTTATAGAGTATTGAAGAAATCATAAATGGAGAGCGCATCTGAAGGTCTGAACGTGCATATTCTTTGAAAGAACTCTCATTTCCTTAAGTGGACAATAATAAATATATTGTGTGCAATGCAAGCATCATTAAAGTCTTAGGAAAACTTTCCTTTTCACAAAAATGCCCACTTAAATATTTAAACCAATTTAGGAAACATAGCCTTAAGGCTAACAATATCAGTTTTCACATATTATCTGATTTTTAGAACTTTTCCTGCGGTGATAAATACTACTATGTCCACTTCACAGATAAACAAAAATCTTAAAGGAAATATCTACAGTCAGCAATTTAGAATTTAAACTTTGAATAACACTATCCCTTGACATTGTGGCCATGTTGTTACTATAGAAGTAAATCAGGAGTAGGGTAGCTTTTTTCTTGCTCTCTTTTTATCCTTCTATTTGATTTCCTGGCTATAGATAAAGTAAGGCCATGTTAAAAAAAAATGAGACATGGACTGTAAATTTCTGTATAGGTTGTTTACAAATATTCTGTGAGTGCAGTCATCACAATGAGTTTTAATTGCTTTCTAGGTGCTTAGACCTAGTTTCTTTTCTGAGCCATGGTGAGGAAGAAAATGGGACTTGATTTCTGTTTGTATTTAACTTAACCTTCTTGAAATATTATAAACAATTATGACTGCTCTTTAACTCCTTTCCTTCATGATCTTTTCTGTGGAACTGACAATGTATCAATCTCTTCAAAGATGCTTCCATTTTTAATAATCCTCAGATCCACTCCCAATAAAAGTGTAATTTTCTGGTTGCTTAGTCATATCTATATATCTTCTTTCCCAGAGAGGTGATAGCTAAACTAAGTTGTCCTAAGATTTTGGGTGCAATGAGGAAAGAAAACATTTTTGTTTACGAAATAGCTTTTTAAATGTATTGAAGACAGAAAAATATAATTTGTCAATGGGATGAAATCAAGGCCACCACTAGCCCATATGGCATCTTTGTGAGAACTAGAAACAGGCTCCTCTCTTCCACATAACTAGTGGAACTTGGTACCTTTCTGCCCCCTTGACCCACTGAGCAGCTTGTCCTGGGAGAAATTGTGGTGGACTTCAACCCAAAAGAACAAATTTCAAAGTAAACATCAACTAGGATTAATGTATGTTGCCAAGAAATATTTGTCAGTGCTTATCATGCGACAGATAGTTTTCTAGGCTCTGGGGATGCAACAACGAACGAAGCAAAGTTCCTTCTTTCATGAAATGCATGTCTTGTTCGGGACATGAAAAATAAGCCAGTCAATATGTAATATGGTAGGTTCTGATTCGTGCTAGGAAGAACAATGAGATGAAGGGTAGGGGAAGAGAAAACAGTCCAGGGATTCGGGGCATGCTATTTATTATCAGTTGGTCAAGGAAGTCTCTTTGAGAAGGTAGCGTTGGGTTAGAGACAAGGCAATTTAGAGAGTGTGCAGGTTGGGGTGTCTCTGCATGCCAGGCCAAGGAAGCAAAGCGTAAGGGCGCCAAGCTAGGAGCTCTGTGTACATGGGAAGAACTGCAAGGAGGCTGATGAGACACAAGCAAAATGGCAGAGTTGATAGGAAACAAGACAGAGAGATCACTAGATCTAAGTCAAAGATGTGGTGGTGGCTAGAATGTTGGGTTAAATGCTAAGTGAGAGGGAAAGCCATTGGAGAACTTTGAAAAGAGGAACTCTAAGATCTAACATGGCCATTGAAAGGATCACTCTGGTTGCAGTGTGGCAAGTGGACTGACAAGGAATGAGGGCAGCAGGAAGGTGAAGTGGAGAGCATGCAGTGATCCTGGGAGGAATATCAGTAGCTTAGAGGGAGTGGCAGTGGTGGAGGTGCTTGGAAGTGGAGTACATTGCTTTCTCTCATCAATGAAGCCTCTTCAGATTAGGCCAATGATATGCTGGAGCTGGTTGTATTGGCTCACAACAGACAACTGTTAAATTTTCAAGAATGTTAAAAGCCTATTGGTAAACACAGCTGTTATGAAAAAATTAAATTCTATAAATTTGTAATTAAATATATTACACCAAAAACAAAGGTAATAAATATTAAAATGCATCACATCATACTTATTTTACTTTATTTATTATTACCTATGTCCAGGTTTTTTACATCTATTGTATCCATAATGTAAAAATATCATATAATGGTGTGCTACTGCCATCTCTTCCCAATTCTGTGTTGACATCATGTTGGTAGATTGAAATTAGCCATGGTGATAAAGACGTGGTATTTACACACAATGGAATATTATTCAGCCTTGAAAAAGAAAAGAAGTCCTGCCATTTGTGACAACATAGATGAAACTGGAGGAAATTATACTAAGTGAAATTAATGGAATATTATTCAGCCTTGAAAAAGAAAAGAAGCCCTGCTATCTGTGACAACATAGATGAACCTGGAGGGCATTATACTAAGTGAAATTAATGGAATATTATTCGGCCTTGAAAAAGAAAGAAGTCCTGTCATTTGTGACAACATAGATGAATCTGGAGGATATTATACTAAGTGAAATTAGTCAGCCACAAAAGGACAAATAATACATGATACCACTCATATGAGGATTCTAAAATGGTCAAACTCATAGAAGCAGAGTGTAAAAATGGTGATTGCCAGGGGCTGAGGTGAGGGAGAAACACAGAAGTAATACTGAAAGGGTGCAAAGTTTCAGTTATACAAGATGAATAAGTCCTAGAGATCTACTGTACAGCACAGAGTTATAGTTAACAATACTGTGTCGTATACTTAAAAATTTGCTAAGAGGGTAGATCTTATGTTAAGTGTTCTTATTACGCAAAATAATAATACCAAATAATAAAAAAATTGAAGAGGACAGGAGAAAACTTTTGAAGATGATGGATGTGTTTATGGCATAGATTGTGATGATGATGTCACAGATGTATATTTATCTCCAAACTCATCAACTAGTATATTAAATATGCACAGCTTTTTGTCTGTCAATCACACCTCAATAAAGTGCTGTACAAAGTCGGCCATAATGGGAGCATTTACCCCTGTGAATCTATATCTATAAACACTAAACATCAGAGGTTGACGTATTGTTTTGCTGACTGCCTAGACTTAGGAAAGTGATGGAGAAATGTTAATAATGCAGATCTAACTTGAAAATGTGCCATGTTAAGTCCTAAAGTTGAAAGAAGTTTCAGTGTAATGAAAGTAACTTGCGCAAGTGTGAGAAACAGTGTAACAGTAAGTCACAAATTTAATCACAATGTTTTGGGGGGAAAAGTTAGTGTATTTGGATGCAACTCTGTAAAATCATGGTTAAATTTTAATTCTAGGTTGGCTACAAATATAGGAGTTTAGCAAAAACGCCCTGCAAAAATCAATTGGCTTAATGGAATTTATGAGAAATAGTATTGCGTATTTCGTTACTATTTGTCAATTTTCCCTAAATTTTATGCCAATAAAATTTATAACAAACTTGTTTATAAATGCAAATATGTTTTTTTGAGAGCTGGTTGTACCAACGCACTTCTGGATAAAATTCCCTTATGTTGGCATTTAGATCTTGAAAATCAAACACACAAATTATACATGCTAAATCAAAATCCAGAAAAGTCTTAAAATGTGGGGCAAATGTTCACTTAGTAGTAAGCATCAAACACTCAAGGGAAGCATCCTCCCCAGCCAAATGTAACCTGCTGTGGCAGTGGAACATAAGCTCCGCTCATCTCATCCACATAACTTAAGTTCAATGCCACAAGCTTCTTAAATGGAAATACTTCTCAATCTAAACCGTGGTACATACTCATATAGTGCCGTCACACATGATAATTTTTTACACATGACTTGTTCACCAAGAAAATCAGCCACAGATATTGCCTATTAATTTATCATTTTGAGCTTCTGTGATCTGCAGTCACACAGAACTAGAACATGTTTCAAGGAATATGTTAATCCCATGGTGAGTCAGACCACGTTTTGTTTTGATCCAGTGCTGAGTGAGGCAAGTATACTAGCTCACCTTTCCACTTGCCCTGCTCTCTACCAGGACATCCACAAAGAATTTTCCAGTGGATAGAGGCAATTCTCTCCCAATTCACTGAGAACATTTCCTTGTTGAAATATATTCTTGATATTCATAGAATAAAGTCAATGGTGTATCCTTCTAATGAGGATATTTTAGCTACTTGACATTTAACAAATTAAGGCTTCGGTATCTTGATACAAAACAACAACAGTTAATCCACTGACAAAGTCAAAGATGGAATATTAATACTCTTGATTGAAAGCCACTTACGTTGCCCACTTAAGACGCATCACTGGAAGAGAAGCAACAATTAGTGGTCCATTATTGTGAACTGCAAATCATGATTGCCAACTTCAGTGGCTGGAGAAAAAATAGTGACAGTAATGGGAGGTGGACAATCTATGCTGTATCCATTTGACGCTGAAAACAGTATTGCTTTCAGCCCCTAATTTGGGGAGTGCTGTATGAGTTTTGAGTCTTTCCTCCAACCTTTTCCATCTCCGACAACCCGCACTCTTCACAGCTGGGAGAAGGACTTTCCTAGGATGCCAGACTTTCAGTGTTAATATTGCGACAGTCCCTGGGGATGGTTGGTTACCCTACTCTAGATAGGGATCCAAAATGAAGTTGAAGTACCATCATATAGGAAAGAGCCATATAGGATACAGTGGCTGTAAAGTCATGACAGTAAATGAGGTCACCCAAAATTTGTGAACAGGAAAGAGAGAATAATAAAACACACATACACACACACAAGATCAATATAATGGAGCAGGCTGAGGAAGAGAAGCTAATAAAATAAACTAGAAGAAGTTAGAGAGAAAAAGAGAGCCAGGGAACAGATGCGAAAGATTTTAGCTAAATTCTCTCTTGCAAATGGCGAATGAAGGATGTATCTGTGAGCTGATGAAATTCCTCTTTGGTTGGTGTAATCATCTATTTGAAACCTTAGATACAGTTCCTAAGAAATTTTTACTTTGAAAAGGTCATTTACATGGAAAAATATTCTTTAAAATGTTGATACAAATACTGTTGTTTAAAAAAATTCATATATCATTCCTGAGATATTTTGGGGTGGTGTTGAGATTATGGCTTCTGCTTGCCCTGTTTACAAGTATATTTTAAAACAACTACCTGTTTGAAAGAAACTCCGCATGATAAAGTTTCCTTCAGAGTGGTGGTGGAAAAATACAATGATTATTATAAGTGGTTCGTTTGGGCTGTGGAAAGTAGAAAAATAAATTTAAACGCAATTATGTACTTTGTAAAATAGAACAGCTTTTTCATATATAGACGGGCTAACCGGGGATATAGGCAATGTTTACAAGGTACTGGGTGTATTACCATAGCTCTTATAAATTCTGCTTTCCTGGAAAAAGAGACCATACTTAAAGTAATGTAATAAAGCCATTGGAGAAATGTAGTGGTGATCATCCACGCTCGGTATAATAACTTCAAAGCCTTGCATCTTGGCAATTACTTTTTTCTCTCATTTCAAGAAGTGATTAATGACTGAAACTGCATTATTAAAACATCTTAATTTTTCTCATAGACATCCACAAGCATTTAAAAACAGCCGAAACTGTTCTCCAGAATTCTTAGACACTCAAAGTCATTTTTTAAGCTTATAGTGAAAACTCAATCTAAAAGATACAGAACCACCCCTTATGTGTAGGTAACACTTCCAGAAACCTCATCTCTGTCTACTACAATTATAAACATGAAAAATACCTCCAAGTGGTGAAAACTGAAGAAGCCAGGAGCTTCGTTTCGTGGATGAGATTCTCCAGCCTTCACTGTCTTACCGGACCCACGGTTCTCACATAGCCTACATAACTTATGTATTTACTCTGTTGATTTTCTACTGTCTTACTTACCCTGCTAGAATGCAAGCTCACATGGCAGGGATCTTGTGTGTTGTTCAGTGATTATCCCAAGAGGTACCCATTAGGTTTTCAATAATTATTGTATAAGTGATACTGGATATAACAAATAAACAAACAGTACATGGTGGTCAGGCTTGTGTCCCTCCTACCTGAATCTCCTGAGAAATTGGCTTATAGGGTAATCAACAAGGGCAAGCATCCCACTTTCTGAACACCAAGCTTCCAAAGGAAGCCACTGCTGCCAAGGTCTTCTCAGTGTCCTCCCTGTGCCCAGAAGCTTTGCAAGGTGTCCTTGGGGAGTTGTTGTTGGAGCTTCTGAGCTTCTTTCTACCCTTTGTTTACAGTCACCCAGCAACTCAGTCAGGGCTCCAGGCACTAGAGTCACCTCCCCTCTTCCCTCTTCTGACTTCTCTGCTCCCCCCAGATGTAATGTCATGAGAAATTCCCAGCCTCCATCGCTCACCAGACTCCCTTCTTTTCTCAGAACTCAAAAAAAAAATCTAGACTTGGGGGCCAGAAAATCTTAAAAGGACTTGAAGCTCAGGGTTGTAAAGGAAGGCATTTCCAACATGTTATGAATCCTAGAAAGTGTTTTTGTGAAGAAGTCAGGATTGCCTGGGTCCCTAATCACAATTAATCATCTCATCTTTTTGTGAAAAGGAAGCTTGAGTTCTAACTAATCAAAATACAGATGACTATTTGGAAAGCCACATATTCAACCCATTTATAAGTTGGATTCTGCTTATATGACATTGTCCCTTCTTTCACATCATTCCAATCACATTTTCCTCTACTTCTTGTCCATGTTACTTAACATTGCAAACCCCCTCTTACCTCAATACTCCCTATTCTCCTCTCCTGCTTCCTTATCACCATCTGACATATTTTATGTAAGATGCATAGTTTATGCATTTATTCCGTTTATTGTTTATCTCTCCTCTTCCACTAGCATATTAGTTCCATGAAGCCAAGGACTTTGTTTGGTTTACCTCTGTATCCCCAGGATCTAGGACAGCACCTGACACATGGTGAATGTTCAGCACTCATTTGTCAATTCAAGGAGGGAATAATCGAATTGACACATGGCATTATCCATTTGTGAGCTTTTATGATATAACTTCATTCACACTGTGATGTAATGATTTACAGCGTTGAACTACGATTGGCAGGGCTAACTCTCACTTCCTCACTCTCACAGCACTGGCTCGTGGATCTCATCCAGAAATCCATATCCTTTAGTCCTTCCCTCATCTCCAAGCTAACAATTCCTTATACTCTTACTTTCTTCCTTATTCAACCTAAACCTCACTTTTCTTCATGTCAAATTTCCACTCTCCAGTTCACTAAACCCTGCTAATCTTGACTTTCTACCATGTGTCCTGCAGTTTCTCAAACCTACATCATTGAATCGCTCCTACCTCCCTAAGTAGCCAATCACCATGGGAGGAGATATGATTGTGTGAATGCTATTACAGTGTGATGACTTTGAACTTCAACTAGGACCTCAATGCTACTTGGCAGGGCTTGTTACTGACATGTTGTCTGTCCTGTCCTCTACTCTTCTAAATGAACAATTACAGACATTTACAGTTCAAGCCTCCCACCTTTTCCTGGCCCCTTTACTTTTCCTTATGGAAAAGCCTAATCTCTTATTTCAAAGAGGAAATGGAAACTATCAGGTATGAATTGCCTTAAATTTTACCTACCCTATCTTATAAACTTCTCTCTCACTACATCCAAGCTCTTAGGCCTTCTTTGCATTCCCACATTGAGTGGCCTGGCTCTCTCCTCACATACTGTCCAGATGACTCATGTCAGGGGTTGGGTCCCACAGGACTGGAACAAAGACAGTAGTTTCTACTCCAGACAGCACAGAGTAGAGAGGATTCTAAAGTCATTGTCAACATACAGTGCCATTATATCATGAGTATAATTAGAAAAAATTCTAATATTCTTCACGTCTGGAATACCATCTTCAAAACTACATTGTGATAAACAAAAACCTCCAAATTAGTCATATTAATGTAGCAAATTATATTAAAACCTAAAAATAAGTTCCTATCCTTTGCTTCACTTCCAAAAATTGATCCTAAAACAATAATTGGAGAAGTAGGTTCCAGTATTATGTACATGTATATAAATAATATCAGAAAGTTGTAAACCTAAATATTTGTCCATAAGAAGGATTAAATAAATTATAATTCATTTGCATATAAGGTTTTATGCAACCATTAAATAGTATATTAGAAGATTTTTAATGACATGAAAATGATCACAATGTAATGTGTTTTGAAAAATAAATTACATAGGGGGCTGGCCCGGTGGCCCAGCAGTTAAGTTCACACATTCCCCTTCTCAGCGGCCCGGGGTTTGCTGGTTCGGATCCCGGGTGCAGACATGGCACCGCTTGGCATGCCGTGCTGCGGTAGGCGTCCCACATAAAAAGTAGAGGAAGATGGGCACGAATGTTATCTCAGGGCCAGGCTGCCTCAGCAAAAAAGAGGAGGACTGGCAGTAGTTAGCTCAGGGCTAATCTTCCTCAAAAAAAAAGAAAGAAAAAGAAATTACATAAAACCATGTATAGAATTTACCAATGTTTTGAAAATATGTACCCAAAATATTCACAGGGTTACCTCTTGGCAATGGAAGGATTATAGAGGATTTAATCTTGTTCTTTATGTACAAAATTATTTCAACAATAATGATAATGAATGTTATATTTTAGGAGTGCATTCTGAAGCATGCATATTTTGACTTTCCATTTCAGAAGATATATATATAAAATGTGTGTGTTTATAATATATATGATTAGGTATAAAGAGCACTTTGGTTTGCTAATGTCAGATTAACTGTATATCATCTACGTCAGAAAAAAAATTCAGGGTGCTTTAAAGAAAACCTGAAAATGGATCAAGAAAGCTGACAAAGAGTTAAATATTCTGGCATTGAGATTCTGCTCATTTTCATAAAATACACAGTTCTTAAATGTTCATTTTCCTCTGTTTGCATAAAGACTGATAAATCTCGCTCAGGCCTAACTGCATTGATTTGATGATCAAAACAGGCATTTCCTCTTCCTCATGCCAGGAGGGGGCTTTTTTTCAGTAGACCAAACACAAAAGCCTTTCTTCCTAATTTCCCATTTTGACACGAGTGAATAATAACCATCTTTCTACGCCGTACCAGATCTCATTCTAATGAGTATTAAAATCCTTTTTGGAAATGTATTAATGCTCCAGTGCTAAGATCCTTTTGAGAAAGTACTATAGTGTAAAGTCTGAAGAATCAGAAATCCACTTGTGTTTTGCATATGGAAGGCAGACGAGACAATCATTTATTGTGGAGAAAAAAAGCTTTGCTCTATTGGGCTGTTACAAAAGCTGTAATTTTATTTTGAAGTTCTCAAGTTTTGTTCTCCTGGTTTATGGTTTTGTGCTAAAATTATGGCTTCGTAATGGGTTGTAAGGCATACTTTATGCACTGTCATAATTATAAGCTATTACAGTTCATTCTTTGTATCAGGATGGTTTTATGGACATTTAAATGAAGTTTCTGACAATGAAGCTACAGCTTCAATAGTACTACATTATGGCTACACCTGGTGGTGTGCAGTCTCTCCGTTTTTCTATTGTAAACCATTGTGGGGAGGAGAGTGGGATTTAAAACCTCAGCTGCTTGCCTCACACTGTGCCCCAGCACGACATGTAGATTTATCAATCCATTTGTATTTAAATAACTTATATGCTTTTTGCCTCACTGAGCCACAAGACCGTCAAAGAGAAAAATCACTCTGGTGAGTTCAGTTTCCTCTTGCCAAAGAAGACACCTGAAAGTTTGAAAACATAAAACACAGTGAGTCGTTCATCCTTTTCCCTTGACATGAGAAAGTGGCATTGAGATGTTGTTGCTTACTCTCCGATGTTTACATATTAGAAATGGTCTGTTAGCATGTGCCGGAGCCGTTTGTCACAGTATTTATGATATTGTCTATGCTTTCGGTTTCTGATTTCTTATTTAGAGGCTGTTGGAAATAGTCACCTAATTTGCAATCTCCTGCAGTGTAGGATTCAATGAGAACACATCGTTCCAGCGAGGGTGTTGGCTGAGTAGACTCTTGGATAAGGTGTAACTAATAATTTTAAACATCCCATGTGGCAGTAGAGTTTTATTATAGGTGACAAAGTGACCAAGGTTTCAGTAGTTTTGTAAAGGAATTCCATTGAAGTCAATGAAGGATCACGTAATAATATGAAAACGGGATTAAGTACTGAATGCCAAATTTCCACTTAAAATGACCTTCAAGAAAACAAAGAAAATCCAACTGAGAAAAAAAATGTACTAAGAAGACACTATGTGCTCCCAGAGAGCAAGAATGTGAAAAGCATTTACTTAGGGCTCCCGTAGCCCCTTAATCCAGGCCCTATTATGCATAGGAATTAGAGCCCATATGGTCTTCTAGCAAATTGTCCCACATCAGTGGGAGAGTATTTATTTCATCAATGTGAACTAAGTATTTTTAAATCATTACTGAGAAAATACAGCCTTCTAAAGAATATAATGTATTCTTTAAAAAGAAGTCAAAGATACCATAAAAACATCTCACTCGTATTTGGTTGTAGAATCTGTTTGGCTTCCATCTGAAGGACTCCCAGTTCTTGCATATTTTAACACTTCCATAAAGCTGTAAATAAGGGGGTTGCAGCCTGTTTTCACTCACTGCTTTAGAATTCACTAATGAAGACGAGAATGAGGAATTCCAAATATATAAACAGCCCTCAGTGGATGAAGAAATGAATCCTGCCAGATTGATAATTGCCCAGCAAGACTCAAATCTCAGACACCTGCCTGAACTCCCTCCTATAACACAGAAGGGCCAGTGATGTAGGCTTTTTTTAACAGGGAATTATTGCATGATAATTATCCACATCATAAAAATGAATCAGTTGCAAAATTTTGGACATTAAAACAACCATTTTGACTGATTTTGCGCTAGAGGAATTACCTGGTTAATTGCTTGGCCATAAGCATTGATTTGGTGGTTGAAGTTACATTCCTATTAAAACTGTCTTCTGCTTGCTGTGTATACAGCCCAAGTGAATCTCAAGAAAATAACTTATGTACATCTCTAAAAGAGGACACAGCACTTCAAACCAATTAGCCATAATATTTTGAGGCAGTTATTCTTGTGGATAATGTTGTTCATGTGTGGAAAGTGAAGATTAAGACCTATAAATCAAACTGTGTTATTCTAACATCTACTTGAATTCACACACCGGTGAAACTACAAGGCTAATGCTAAGAAAGAAAGGGCAGTTTCTTTGCTCAGAGTTGCCTGTGTTAGCTTTAAAAAAGTACAGAGTACAAACAATATTGTAGCCAGAGAAAAAGAAAAGGGTAAAAATATCAAGAGTACAATCATTCCATTATCCATCACCAGAAATATTTATAAAGTCTGGTCTGCTGTTCCATATGTGTTCATTGTGAGTATTCTTACAGAATTAGCTAATATTAGGAAACTTACATTCTAAAATAGTATTTCCAAACTTTTCTGATAAGAATCAACTTGGGAGCTTATTAAAAGAAAGAAACAAACAAAAAGCAAATTTCTAGGTCGCTCACTCAGAGATTTTGGGAGTCGGTTTATCTGTTTTCATACTTTAATAAACTCTCCTTTCCCCAGGCCCCTTGATTCTTATCAGCTGAGAAATTTGAGGAAAATTATTCTAAAACTGCTGATAAGCAAAATGAAAGTCAATAGCTTGCCAAATCTGTAAAGCACAATGAAAAATTAAATGATAAAATTTTTCTTAAAAAATAAATAGTTGTGGGGCCAGCCCTGGTTGCCTAATGGTAAAGTTTAGCCCACTTCACTTCAGTGGCCCAGGTTTGGTTCCTAGGCTTGGACATCCTCCACTCGTCTGTCAGTGGACATGGGGTGGTGGCAGCTCAAATACAAAAAAAAGGAAGATTGGCAATGGATGTTAATTCAGGGCCAATCTTCCTCAGCAAAAGATAAATAAATAAAAAGTAAATACTTGTAATAAATTGAATGGTTATTCTATACTAGGCAGCTCTATAATAAGGATAAAATCCCATTGGCTAATATTTCGACTTATTTGTGGCTAATACCTTAGCATTCTCAAATTTTAAAATTCGTCAAAAGAATGAATAGAATTTATTTTTTCATTTAAAGGAGAAAATATCCAAATTGTGCATTTTAGAAAGTAATTATTTAAAAATATCTTATTACCAAGTAAGTGATGTTACTTGAAGAAAATTTAAATTGATATGGATATAAAGAATTAAAAATCATCTATAATCCAATTTCCTAAAATTAACTGCTATTAACATTTCATTGAATATATTTCTAGACATTTTTTAGTCATGGAATCTTGATTATAATTAGTTTCTCAATAAATCTCAATTCAACCTTTTTTTCCTTCTCGTGTGGTTGAAGGGGTAGTAAAGGGCATGTTGGCAACTAGCAGAATAAGTGGGCGAGATATAGAGAGAGAATTAATACTATTTTTGGTGCCCAGCTCTCCTTCAAATAATTTTCACACAATGTATGTAAGAACATGTATTTTTCATTTTTTAAATCTTTGTTTCAATGACCAGCTAATCTTAGTTTGTCATTACAGTGGCTAAAACAGACTATTAAAGGGTCAGTCTTGCTTTTTAAATTTATTTTCCTGGTAATACCCTCCAACCAGGCTAGTATTTGGAATGAAGCAGCCATGAAGTTGCGGCTGGTCATCTCTGCCTTGATCAATGTCTTACTTCTAATTGGACCAATCATTATCAATGAGGACCACAGGGAGAGCAGCACTCCCCAGAATATGTCATTGTGTAAGCGTTGGGCACATCCAAGCTTTTCTAAGGTCAGAGGTTTATTTTAATAAAACCGAATTATCAATAGGACTTATGAGAAACCCAAATTGCTTTAAAAATAAGCATTTTCGACCTTTTTTATGAGGAAAGATAATTGTCTTTACTAATTTTATCACAGAAAGGCTTTTTCTTTTTAACTTTTTTGAAGAATAACTGGCAAATATAGTCGTATATATTTAAAGCGTACAACATGATAATTTGATATACATACACATTGTGGAATGATTACCAAGATCAAATTAATGAACACATCCATCGCTTCACATAGTTACACAGGTAACACTTTTGTTTGTGTGTGGGTGGTGAGAATTCTTAAGATCTACTCTCAGCAACTTTCAAGTATACAATACCGTCTTATTAACTATTGACTTTTTTCCAGCTCTTCTTACTTCATTTGCTCATATGTATTTTCCTGCTACTCTCTTTGATT